TCCAATGCCCAAATTAAAACCGTGGTCAAATCACACAATATGAGTCGCTGGAAGCGGGAGTGGCAGAGTTCTGGGAAGGGCAGGCAAACTTTTAAATTCTTCAAGGATCCAAAACTAAACAGACGGCAGGCAAATTTTTATTTTAATCAATTTTTAACGGGCCATGGAGTGTTCGGAGAACATCAAAATAGACTTTTTAATAAAAACATTCAATGCAATTACTGTGCGGAACAACAGAGAATCGATCCTTTAAATTTTAGTTGTTCCCATTTCCAGACACTTCGTGACAATAACTTTACCAATTTTAATCAACACCAATGTTTTGCCAATTTGGCCTGCAGAAAAATTATCATCTCTATTATTAAACAAACACTGGAAGATGTACTCGGAGTAATGGTGCTTCTGTGTACGTCACCGCTTCAGGAAAGCATTTCCGACCCCACATTGCTATATGATTTCGAGTCGTAAGGATGCCCCCTACCCCTCTTAGAAGTTCTGAAACGCTTAACTGAGACACCCTGTATAAGCTTACTAATTATTTGGAAATAGAGGTGGATAAAAATCCACTAAATAGAATTTATTAAACCAGGAATCACAAATGATAAACTACCATTTAAAATATTTATTTGCTGTTTGGAACAAGTTGGCATCTCTATGCTTTTTATTCCCAAAAACTAGCTAGAATGAAATGTATTTTTTACCAGTTTTACTTCTCTCTATTGATATATATAGACTTTCAACTTCTTGATTGATGCTGTGTAGAGTCCATATGTAGAGAAGCCAACTTGTTCCGTTTTATAAAAAATTATTTTCTAATGGTAACTAAATTTAAGTTATATTTAGTCTAGTATTTTTCATTTTAAGTAATTTTTCCAACACTATAGATACCAAACTCGAAATATCAGACGAAATGCAATTTTATTTCTTTTATTTAGTGGTGACTCTTAGAAGAGTGTGAGTAATTATCGTTATGCTACAAATTTTACTAGTTAACACGTTGAGCACGGCGTCAACCACCGGTGGCTGATACTGAAATTACATTTAGGCTGCGTCTGCCACCGCTTGCTGACACTGACCTTTCACATAGGCCGCGAAAAACAGCTGGCTGTATAACATGATATAGAACTATAAAATTCACACTATTTTATGGAATTGCAGAAAATGTATTCAAAATTTACTTATTTTTTGTGATTCTTGGTTTAATAAATTAAATTTAGTAGATTTTCCTCCACCACTATTTTAAACAATTCGTATTCTTATATAATTTACCAATTTTCTGATATGTCATGCTAAACTTTTAAAACTAGTAAAATCTGTCAAATATTTACATTTTAATTTGTAGTTAATTATAGTTTGGCCAGACGGGCATGCCATTTAAAATTAGCACGGCGTTCAACGTGTTAACCCTTTCTAAAGCCGTGATATACTTACCATCTAGTTTAAAAGTCCATGGTAATTTGTCTACCACTTTTAATTTAGGTTTCCATTTGCTAATAACATTAGCTTTCTTGACGTGCGTTTGGCCACTTCGGGGGGTCGACATGGGTGAAAGCCCTTATATAGCAAGACGGAAAAGGGAAAAACCTGGTACGTAAAACATTTCATTCCAGCATTTTTTTTTCGAAAAAAATGAAATATCTGTAACTATCAAGATTTCTTTCATAATTCTGGAATATATATAAAACTGCTTCTTTTCCAAGATAATGTAGATATTGTTGAAAAATTTAAAAAAAGAATAAGTAAACTCCTCCCCAAAACTAGCTATAACTAAAATGGTTTTACTACCAGGATTTCCTCTTTTCCGTCTCGCTTTCACCCCTGGACGACGAGTGCGTTTGA